ATTTGAGTGAGAAAAGGTGTCTCTCAATCACATACTGATAATCTACTAGTATACATAAAATTTTAAGCTCTATCCGAATTTGAATGTTTTACATTTCGGAAACGCGTATTGTCAGAAATATACGCGCACCGAAGTCGATAAATCTTGTCAAGTTGACAAGATTTATCGACTTCGGTCCTTAGATAGACCAAAAAACGATGTGTGTTGTGATTTAGATGACGATGGAGAAGAAGCAGATGGCGTCTTGTAGTCAGCTGAGGAAGCAGACGAACTAGATGCCGTTGTCGATGTCGTGGACGCAGACGACGACGTTTTGACATGCTTATGTGTTTTGTTGTGTCGTTCTGGTTTCCGTGTTACGGACTTTGAACATTTCTTCGCTTTCTTTTGAGCGAATATGATTCTTTTTCAGCCATTCAGGATGAACGAGAAATTGTTGATTCCCTGTCTGATAGTGATGAAAAGTGTAAGTCGGAATCAAAATCGTATAAAGCATTGTTATCATAAATTGATTCATCGAATGGAGCATCTGTCGCTGTCGACGGCTGTGTCTTCTGCGTTTGTTGAGCGTCAGGATGATTCCTCACCTGTGGCTGTGATGCTACAACATCTGTTATTATTTTTGTCGAGAGGCTAAATTTTGTTTGTCAATAGAAAAAGAACAAAATGTTTATAATCAGTTTGATATACAATAAGGGATATCAGATACTGTCACTTTGACTGCTACCTGTTTGTTGTAAGATAATTATCGCTTTTTAAAGTTAATTTTCTTTGAATGGCTAATGAACAGAGTCAATGGCGGGGAATACTAAGTTCAGCTCTTGAAATTCAGTTCAGCTTTGTGAAATAAATTAAAGCTATCTATATCCCTATTATTGAATTCGATTAGAATAATAACTGTTATTAATTATTATGAAACTGTTATTAAACACGTTTCTAATTGTTATTGTAGAGGTAGACGGTAATGGAAGAACAAGTGTCTTAACTAAACAGTCTTTGAACTCAACTTGAAAACTCAAGCTGGGTTCAAGGAGTCTCTAACAATAACTAGAAACGTGTTCAATAACAGTTGTTAATTGTTATTCTAATCAAACTTAACAATGCATATATGACTGGCCACTACAGACCTGCAACAAAATCTGATTCTAGGATCGAGTCGAATTTGGATTACGTTTTCTTAGCCGATGCAGATCTCTACTGACCACTTCTGATCTGGTATTTTCCTCTGATGGCAGCTACAAGGGCTCTCTCTTCTTCGGCCATGCATTGTAGAGTATTAAAAAGATCTGTTCTGGAAGAATCTGTTCTATAAACTTATGCGCAGATTTCTGCAATAGATATTTGAAAGTCTGTTCTAGAAAGCTAAAAATAATACTTTTCTAGAGATCGGCTTTCAAAATTCCGTTCACGAGGCCAGTATGAGCCACAACGAAATCAGCGAGTCTGAATTAGTATAGCCAACTGTATCTAAAATAAGAAATGTTTTCGGCGATGTTCTGTCGTTGTTTGTGACACCCATGTATATTTAGTATGCGTACGCCCTCTACAGCTAGATCTGTGTATTACTTAGCAACGCAAGCGAAAAGCAGCATGATGGTAGGTGTTGTATGCCTCACCTTTCTGATGTTTATAAAGAACACCCGATGTGCTTGTTTGAGTTGGATCAGCTACTGATTCATATAAAATGAAAAAGTCTTTAATAATTGCGTATTGTAGTGAATAAAATTTGTAGATTATAGATTGTGATTACGGGTGTTTCAAACTGGAAAACTTAGCTCGCGTACGACCCGTCACCGTTGTAGATCTCATTAGACAATACTGTGCGACACGATTTCGGTATTAACGCATGTATATCTCCCCTATTACTGTTTTTTCTAATCGGCCAAATGTAACAAAATATGAGAATAAACTAAAGGGTGGTCCAAAAGTTTCGACCCCTCTATAAATTGGCGTAAAATATACGGATACTGTCTCAATAATAGAACACGCATTCTCCATTTCAAATGCTTATTGTGTCCTGTGACATTGATTTTTGACAATATTACGTTTGGTCAAATTCAGGGCTGTACCCAGGGAGTGTCAAACAGGGCACATGCCCACCCCTTGGAATCTTGCTTCACTGTAAAAAACTTTTGAAGTACTAAAAGATCCACTGTAGATGAACGAATAAAAAATTGATGAGGACCCGTTCAAAAGTTTTTAAAATTTGCCAACCGCTTAGCAAAATCCTGGGTACGGCACTGGTCAAATTGTTTTGTTGTAGTGATTTAGATACCGTGAATTTACAGAGAGGGATCGAAACTTTCGAATCACCCTTTATTGATTATTTAGCTCTATATTTTCTTTTAGATAAAATAAACAAATAAACATGGCAAGCAGAAAAGCTCCTGGTGAATATATTCAGGTACCTCCAAATGCTGCAGCTCACGTAGATGCTTACTTTGAATATCGACAGTATGTATCAGTTTCGTACTCTATTGGTCAAACCGGACTTTTAAACAATAACCGGTGAAAATTTAGTATTGTGGGTGACGATGATGGTGGACAAATGTTCACACCGGAAGAATACGAAGCATACAAAAAGCGTGTTTTGCCAATGGTAAGACATTGTAAATCATTTGCATTTTTCTAGTCGAGATTTTATACTTTTAGCGTTTACATAACCGTTTATATGTATCATGGATAAATCCAGATGGAATGGATTGTATTCTAGTTGGACCACAACACAAGTGTTTATGCCGACATAGGTAAGTGATTGACAAAAACCATCTTCAGGTTCAAACAGGACATGACACTGTCAAGTGCGACTTCGCTCTTGAAAGTTCTGCACAGTTTTTCTACAAAGTTCTAAAATGATTAAAGTAGCATATCTTAGATATAAATGGTTTTGGTCCTAGTATCGCTTAGTATTTTCTTACTAAATACTAAGCGGAACTATCCAGTATGAACTATCCAGTATAAAATGATGGTTTTTGTTGGAAAATGCAAACAATATGCATATTTTATCGAGGCAATTTCCGAAATTAGCTGTCGTTTCCGAGAAAAGAGATTCTTCGAGAAGATTTTTCGGTGTCACAAATTATCATATTCCAATTCTCAACTTAAACAATGCATCATAGAGCAGTGAAAAGAAAATTCAAAAATCTCCTTGACATAATGGTATCTCGTTCATTTTAAAATAAAGTAGAGATCCATAACTACTGGTACAAAATAGCTTTTGCATAAAGATCGTATTCTTTCTGGTATGTCATTCATATCCTTGAATAGTTCAACATTTCGGACTGAAGTTTCCTTTATCAACAATAATCGTGATACTCTCTATATTTCTTGAAAGTTAGGTAATGATCGGAAGCACAACGCAGAAAATGCATCTTGAGTAGAGTGGATTCCTCTTCCGAAATGAGTTTCGTATTGATAATCTATCTAATCTATCTATTTTTAAAGATTCACTGAACACAAAACTGATTTTCAACAAATACCAAAAGATCGTCCAATTCTTCTTCCATGTCGCGCCGCTGGTTGTCGTTGTGCTTCATTTGATTACGCAGCAAATTCATCGGGTACCAGTGACCCTAATTGCAGGTGTAAACACGCTCTACAAAATCATTCTACAAATCCACCATACAAATGTCAAAAAGGTAAAATTTGTGTATCTGAGAAATGACGAACAAAGTTTCTATTTTTCATTAGGTTGCACATGTTCCGGTTTCAGTACTCCATTTACATGCGGCTGTGGTACAGCGGCTAACAAACACTTCACACTTGTCGAAACAAAAGAAGAACGTGAAAGACGCGGTCATCCAACAGTACCATATGGAATACCTTATAAAGCGATGGGTGGAATGACGGGCTTTAGTTCACTAGCTGAAGGATATCTTCGTTTAGATGAAAGTGGTAGAGGTGAGTCGCTCAAGCGAGTTATGTTAAGAATAGATTGTTCGGTATCGTCCCGTTTCGTAGCGAAACGGGACTGAATCGATTGTTCTCCTTTCGTCGTTCTCTTTCATTACTTCCACTAATTGGCTTAACAATACTTTATTTAGGTCGACCGAGTGATGAATTTCTAAATCAGCCAATTACAGCGCTAGATCATCCGATACTACGTGCTCATGCTGCACTCGATCCTGATAGTATGACAGTCTTTTTCTAAAGCAGCTACTATTTAGGTACAGAGTCTGTTTCTAGGTCAAGAAGCTCAAAGTCAATTAAGACGTCCAGGTGAGAGTGAACTAGATTACTATGAGCGAAGATATCAAGAGCGAGTAAGATGGAACTTATTATGATTGAAAATCAGATTCTATTTATACAGTTTTTATATTTTTTAGCAACGTTTGTCGAGATCCATTAAAGCACCGAAAAGTCCTTATGATCCAAATGCTCAATTGACAACTGGCAGTCGAAAAACCGGTACATCATCACAGCGGCATATTAAAAAATGAGATCCAATACATAAATTTTCCAAATAAGAGATTGAATAAATTGCTGGTTTATTTACATTGTTGACAACCCGCCGTGGCTGCTTTAATCTAGTATTATATGGCAACTACGAATGCAAAATGGGAGAGCTTAAAGACTAAACTGATGTTTTTCCTGTGTGACAGTATTCCGATGTTCGGCTATAATCTTGTTTTATACATGTTGTTGGCCGTACTATAAACGAGTCTGCCTAATTCTTTATTTTGGCACATATATTCTTATCATATTAGCGATTTAATTTTTATAAAGCAATAGTGGTGGTTTCGCTTGCTTTTCTCAATAAAAACTGTTTTAACATTATTACTTTGATCAAACAACCCATACAAAACGGAAGTCCTAGGTCTCAGCTCAGGCACGTTTATTTGTAGAGGTGGTAGCCGAGATGCCGAAGATGAAAGACTTTTTGAAGTTTTACGCTACCGCTATCCGTAACTCAAACACGTCGATAACGACCCAACAGTCTCCTCACATCTATAGCTCTTAGAGAACCACAAACTGCTATTCGCTTTCAAGATGTCGCTAAGCTCTACATTCGCCATGCAGTATTAGAAACTTTCTGATTGAGAATTTATTGTAGATAAAGGAAATTTATTAGAACTTCTTCTGATTTACAGCCTTTTCTCTGAGTTTTACACAAGTGTAGTTCATAAGATAAAATTTGAATGAGGCACTATCCATTGAGATTTTTTCATGGCGTCTAAATTTCGCCTTCGTTCCCACACGAATGGGGACATACAAAAAAACACATGATTAATTAAAATAAAACAGAAATCTTTAATAAGAAAAAAATGTCGAGTAAAAGTTTTTGTTCATTTCAAGTCTTTAATTAAAACTGGGAGTAAAATAAGATTTTAAATAATGTAGTTTTGAAGCCTCTTCCAATTATTCTTTTCAGATCATAGCATGAATACCAATGAAACTCATTAACGTACAGATAAAGTTCGTGGTTTAATACAGTCTCTAACTATTTTTTAACTGGAATGTGAACAATATGAGGTTACGAATGGTGATAACTATTCATTAATCATAGCCAAATTTATCATAACAAGTGAATGTTCTTCCTAGTCAAATTGTGACAATTCGCATAACAATCAAAAATAAACTGCCTTTATTATATTAACACAGTACCATATTACGGTTATTTCTTCTGTTCGTTGTCAGGTGCCCTTCTTTCGCACAATTTCACATGGTCTTCCCATGCTGAGGATATTACTCTGAGCTGCGGGAATAAGCTTGGGGCTTTGGGGCATATTTTTAGCTTGGCTTCACCTGAGGTTCCGCGTCGAATCTATTTGTCTTGTATTCTTTCTAAACTTGATTACTTTATGATAGCTCTTTTGGCTCTTTCTATTCTTGATTCTTTGATTCATTTTGGTGCTCGCGTTATTCGCCGAAATTTTAATTACTGCCTTCATAGTTCTGATTTAGCTCCTCAACTTTCTCCATCAACTATCAGGGTTAAACCTTTGATGACCTCTCACCCATTAGTAGTTAAATAAATTGTTATTATTATTATTATCTGAAAAAGAAGATCCCAATTAGAACAGATGACTGAACGGCGAATGGCGACGTTTACATAGGTTTTTATGCGAATACGCTACATACAAAAAATCATCCGGAAATTGAAGAAAGAGACATACGCCAGTAACAACGATCACAAGAATATGATTTACAGTAATCGTTAAGCAAATGAACAGACTTCCTTCTGCATACAAGTCGAGATGCGATATTGCTTTTTTTGCTATCTCTGCGCTTATCCGCAAATGTGTGCTTAGAGAATATTAGAGCGTTTGTGCCGTTTATTCTTTAGCTACATGGTTGCTTTTTCATTCTTTCTTCTCCGTATTTTATAATGACTCATACCTCAAGTTACGTTTTCAACTTTTTTTTTCTGCTTTTTAGATTCATTCTCTTAGTCTCTTTCTCTTTCTCTTTTACGCATAACATACATATACCCTTTTACCGCTAATCACCGCAATGAGAAAGAAACAGTAATAAACAATTGGTGATCTTGATTACGTCTAGTGTGATAATTGTATTTTCAATTAGTGTATTATCACATTTTATTTTATAATCGTTCGAAGAAGTTATTAAATGAGTACATCGAATACAGTAACTCGAAAAGCGGCTGATAGTAAGTAAATTTCTTAATGTTTACGCTAGTTTTTGTTTATTTTACTTTATTATCAGACCGCACAGATAACAATAATTTCAAAGTGGTCACCGTCGTGGCTACACGTGGAAGAGGTGCTGAAATATCGGAAGAAATTTCATACACGGATACAAAAGTAATTGGTAATGGTTCCTTTGGCGTTGTTTATCAAGCAAAGTTAGTTCACACAAATGAACATGTGGCAATTAAGAAAGTTTTACAGGATAAACGATTCAAAGTATGTGTCGATGATTTTGATTCTAAAAAATTCGTTTTGTTTTTTCTTATACTTTACCATTTTTGTAGTTGGTTTTGAAAACTCGGCTAAATATTTTAGTTTTTTTCTTCTCCTTTTAGAACCGAGAATTGCAAATTATGAGACGGCTTGATCATCAGAATATTGTACAATTGAAATATTTCTTTTTCTCGTCTGGTGATAAGGTTTGTAACTAGTTCTTGATAATAGTGGAAATTATTTTGTGTTGTTTCTGTTTGTTTGTTTTAGCTCAAAGAGGAGGTTTATTTGAATCTTGTTTTGGAATATATACCTGAAACAGTTTATCGTGTGGCACGGCATTATACAAAACAAAAACAAACCATTCCCTTATTATACGTGAAAGTAAGATTAAATTTCATATAAATCTGTGCGCATTTTCTGCACGCTTACCTTAAGTTACGTCAGAAAGCATTTTCACTGCCTAAACATTGAGAAGTCATATGCTATTTGAATAATCATATAGTAAACATATGTTAACTGTGATGAATTTTTCTAGGCAAAAAAGACTAGACACTTCGCACGAAGATTTTAGTAGATTGACCTACTTCACATTATATAATTCTTTTGAAATTCATTACGATAGTTTCTGTGTATTTCTAGCTCTATATGTATCAACTATTTCGTGCATTGGCTTACATACATTCATTTGGTATTTGCCATCGTGATATTAAACCACAGAATCTATTGCTTGATCCGGAAACATCTGTATTAAAACTGTGCGATTTTGGCAGGTAATGTGTATAGACATGAAACGTTTTGTTAATTACACTGTTTGTGTCTGTGCGTTTAGTGCGAAGCAATTAATCAAAGGTGAACCTAATGTTTCTTATATATGTTCACGTTATTATCGAGCTCCGGAATTGATAT